TTTACTTAAGTAAAATATTTAAAATTAAAAATATGTAATAAATTACTGTGGTTTCACAGTTAAAGTTCAAGCAGTGATTTGCATCAAAACATTGTAATAACATTCTTTTTGTATGTTATTTTTTATACATTGATAAAATTATGAATAAAAGAAGATTATTCTTTTTAATATCTGATTAATAAGAAGCAAATGTCTCTTTACTGTTTAAGAAAACATGTTACGACTTTAACTTGAACAGAGTTCTGTCTCTCTGAAGGAAACCTTCTGAGACCAAGGTCAAAGACAGGTGGAACTGTTTATTCCACCTCTAGGTGAACACTACAAAGGAAATCTTTGTTTATTTTATTTTAGAATATTAAAAACCYTAAATATCATGCTGTGCATTTGATCTTTAAATGGAAGAAGAGCTCCTTCCTCTAAATAGTAGAAACATGTTTTTAATGTTATACAATGTTTAAGTTCTTACTCAGTAAGTACTCCATATACATACTTGGTATTGGCAAATACCCATAGTTTAGTACTTGCACTCGTACTCAGMTTGAGAAAAACCTTGTAAATGTTCATCTTGTTATTACTGTCAGCAAGTTTCTTTTAAAATTGTTCAGTTGTTTTTGAAATATTTTGCTAACAGACTGGCACACAAGGTCCCAGGTTGATTTTCTTTTAGTTGTGGCAGATAATCTCTGAATAAAAAGGACTTTCTACTGAAGAGGTAAAAAAATAGTTGATTATTATACATGATGAAACTGGTCCATCTGGCTCGTAATTTGTCTAACCTGCAAAATTTTTAAACAGTTAAAATTAAAACAATCTGTACACAACCACACATCTACACAAAGGCTCCAGTGTTGACAGACAGGTTGTTTGTCTATATGTCTCTGTGAGGGACTACAGACCTGTCCACGTATCCCACCAGCTTCTGGTGACCCAGACAGGAAAAGGGGGTATATTATTGATAAATGGATTTTTTTATGCTTAGGCTGCTGCCCCCGCGACCCGATCCTGGATAAGRGGCAGAAAARGGATGGACGGACGGACGGATGGATTTTATTTTTAAATTTGAGCAGATTTTAGCTTTTAGTTTTTGTTTTGCTGACTTTAGCAGACATTCTGCCTGTTATGATCTGACAWTTCAGTTTCTTCTGTAAATTCCCACAGATTGTCAGTACTAAGTATTCAGAGTGTGTTTTGACAAAAAAAACGCTAATTCTCCTGGTTTATGAAACAACTTTCATACATTATGTAATTTATATTAAATCAAAACAAAATCTGAAATAACACAGACAAGAATACCTGAACTAGAAGCATTAGGAGCAASAGGTTTGGATTGTAAGATGAACAGAAAGGAAAGCAACAGTTTAGGTCAGAGGTATAAAGTTTGGCTCACTTTAGGACTTCAGCTTTGTGGGTTTTCTTCCTCTTTACATAATCCTTCAAAGCTTTGTTGGTCTGTCTGTCAGGCTGTCCGTCACCTTCAGCTGTATGCCCTTTGGATTCCAGCATCCGTGACCACACCTCTTCCTGCTGTGTACACATAGGAAGGTAGTTCATTAATCACATGAACAAATAGGGACAGGTACTTTTTCAACTATTTTATAGTCAGGTTAGATAAACAACAATAAGGAAGAACTTTTATTAACACAGCTGTGGCCCACCAATAATTAGTCACTCCCCTGCCCCAAATTTTGGCAAAATWTTTTAGAAACTACTGGACATATTTTTATGAAACCTTCAGGAAACATTCCTTAGATGAAATTTTGTTTTGTCACTGATGAAACTCCTCCAAATTTAAACAAAATCATACAGAACAATTAAATAAAACACAAGACATGTTTTTTAATAAACTTTGTCCTTTACTGTTTTAATGGTAGAAAAATGTTTAATGAGTAACTTAAAGGTAATGGGTGAATAAACTCACATTATTGCAGGACTTTTAGCCTCTGTTAAAATGTAACTGTTGATGGAGCTAACAGCAGGAGCAGAACTGAAGTGAAGACAGAAGTCATCAGACACTTGAGTGACTCATCTTCCTTCTAAKTGCTTTTATTGACTTCACATGTTTGAGCTCAAAGCCTGAAACATGGAGGTAACAAAACAAATGAATAGGATTGAGTTTGAGTTAACCCTTCAAACCCAACTGTGCAGAGTGTTAGAAGTTCAAATAAACTTTGTGCAATATGTTGGTCGGAAAACTTATTCTACCACTTTTCTACCATGAAGATTATGTTTTTGGTTGCATTGGTTTGTCTGCCTGTCTGTCTGTCTCTTTGTCTGCCAGTCTGTCTGCCTGCCTGTTGAAGTGCCTGTCTGCCTACCTGTAGGGGTGGTAACCAAACTCCAGCAGGATTTCTACAGCCTAGTAGTACTACTATTTCTACTGGTGTCTGTCCGTCCACTATGGAAGTCTGTGTAAAAGCTGGACTGACTTATCATTGAACATTTCTGTGTTTTGTTGTTGTTTTATCTGTTCATTTGGTCCAATGTTGAAGCCCTTTGGTTAACTTCTGTTGTTMTATGTGCTTTATAAGGAAATTAATATTGAAACCATGTGACCATGTGATCTACTGTTGCAGGTGCGGTGCAATGCAGAATGGGCAAGAGTCTGGATTTACCATTACTGTATGTTGGCAACATAGTGAAAAAAGACTGATGATGTAGAAATCATAAAAACTATTTGTTATAATTTGGGATGCATGATCATAAATGAGACCGAATGGAGAACTCTTTGAAGTCTCTTTCATGTGTGTGTGTGTGTGTGTGTGTGTGTGTGTGTGTGTGTGTGTCTGCTGACCTCAACTTGAGATGTTGTGGGTCGGTGGGCGGAATACTTCGAAAACCTCTTCAATTTTGCCGACGTCTTCCCATGAGGAAGCAGAGCCTGAGGACCATGGGTCAGACTCTCCAATCTCTGGTACCGGGGTCACTGAGATGGTTAAAAAGCTCCTCGGTGGCAAGGCACCAGGGGTGGATGAGATTCGCTCGTAGTTCCTTAAAGCTCTGGATGTTGTGGGGTTGTGTTGGTTGARYRGACTCTACAATATRYCYTGGACATCGGGGGKAGTTCCCCTGGARTGGCAGACCYGGGTGGTGGTCCCCCTAWTTAAAAAGGGGGACRGCAGAGTGTGTTCCAACTATAGGGGGATCACACTTCTGAGCCTCCCTGGTAAGGTCTATTCAGGGTTCCTGGAGAGGAGGGTCTGTTGGATAGTCAAATCTTGGATTCAGGAAGAGCAGTTCGGTTTTTGTCCTGGTCGTGGAACAGCYGACCAGCTTTACACCCTCAGCAGGGTCCTGGAGGATGCATGAGAGTTCGCTCAACCAGTCTACATGTGTTTTGTGGACTTGGAGAAGGTGTTCGACCATGTCCCTCGGTGACCCCTGTGGGTAGTACTCCGGGAGTATAGGGTACCAGGCCCATTGATATGGGCTGTTAAGTCCCTGTACGACCGGTGACAGAGCTTGGTTCGCATTGCCGGTAGTAAGTTGGACTCATTTCTGGTGAGAGTTGGAATTTGCCAAGGTTGCCCTTTGTCACCGATTCTGTTCATAACTTTTATGGACATAATTTCTAGGCGCAGCCAAGGTGTTGAGGAGATCCATTTTGGTGACCTTAGGATCGCATCTCTGCTTTTTGCAGATGATGTGGTCCTATTGGCTTCATCAGATCGTGATCTCCAGCTCTCACTGGAGCAGTTCGCAGCTGAGTTTGAAGCGGGTGGGATGAGAATCAATGCCTCCAAATCCGAGACCATGGTCTTGAGCTCTCCAGGTTGGGAAGGAGGTCCTGTCCGAAGTGGAGGAGTTTAAGTATCTCGAGGTCTTGTTCACAAATGAGGGAAAAATTGAGTGTGAGATTGACAGGCGGATTGGTGCTGAGTCTGAGGTCTGTCGTGGTGAAGCAGGAGCTGAGCCAGAAGGCAAAGCTCTCAGTTTACCAGTCGGTCTATGTTCCTAACCTCATCTATGGTCATGAGCTTTGGGTAGTGACCGAAAGTATGAGATCGCAGATACAAGCGGCTGAAATGAGTTTCCTACGCAGGGTGTCTGGGCTCTTCCTTAGAGATAGGGTAGCTTGGTCATCCGGGAGGGACTCAGAGTAGAGCCGCTGCTCCTCCATGTCGAGAGAAGCCAGTTGAGGTGGCTCTGGCATCTGGTTAGGATCAGTGGCAGCTGGTGGATTTTTTTTCCCAGGGGGGGCTACAACTCCTAAATAGACATATATCAAAAAGCAATCAAACATGTACTAAGTTGTTTCACGCCAGTGTGTTTATTAAACAAATCCAAATAATAAAACAGTCATGTGTTTTTTTATGTTTAGTACATAAATTTTGCTCTTCMGTAACTGAGAAGCAAAATTCTTCATGACTCTGATTAAAGTCAGGGATGATTCTTCTCTATAGAGCATGGTCAGTGCAGTGAGATGTGATGTTGTACCTGAGGAAAGTCTGGATTCTCTTCAGTGTTGAGAAGCTCCTCTCAGATTRAGCTGTGYTCAGAGGAGATGTGATGAGAATCATCTGCAGAGTCACAGTCTCTGAAGMTGTCCTGCAGATTGTTCTCCATGAAGAGCTGGTACAGAGCCATAGCACCACTGCAGCTCCTGAACTAGATCKGACTTCTTGGTCCTYTTCAGCATTGGGTGAGCCTCCATGGTCTTCATGTTAACAGGGGGTGGAGTGYTTCCTGGTGAGGTTTTCTGGYCARGTCCCACMGAGAGGAGGCCCAGGACATGCWGCAGGGARTATGTTTCTTGGCTGGCCTGGGAACGCCTTGGGATTCCCCTGGACGAGCTGGCCCAAGTGGCTGGGGAGAGGGAAGTTTGGGTCTCTCTGTTTAGGCTGCTGCRCTCCGCAACCCGACTCAGGATAAGCAGAAYAAAATGGATGGATGAACAGACGGACATGCTTTTGGATCTACCTCAGTGGTATTTCCAGGCAAGCCAAGCCATTGACTTTACAATAGAGAAGGATGTTTTGTGTGAACACTGGTCCCAATTAAGGGGCTTTTATGAACATTGGTCCCATGTAAGACATAGACAAGTAGAGGTGTTCTAGGTCTGTGTCTGTATGTGTCTACATAAAGTGGGAAAAAATCTTATGGATTTGTTGGGGTGAAAAAGTCAAGGGTGTGTTCACGTGTATTTATCAGTGGTGGGCAGCACTAATCATTAGRTCTGCAATTTCTAAAGTGCTACTGAAAATATTTAGGTRCCCAYCTTCAAAAATGCTTATGTCATAGAAAAAMTAGRGGAAGCTAATTTTAAAGCACATGTTCAATTTGACACTTACTAGCTGAATTCATGTACAATATGCACAATACTGCCAACTAGGGGTGTATGAACCCTTGTACAGCTTAATCCTACAATTGCTGATTGCTGGGGATCAGATTTTCTGTAAGAGAACTTTGGCTCATGGTGTAAAAATTTWAACGTTGTTGAGGCTTGCTAGTTCAGCTGCTTATTTAAAAAGTTGATGAGGTTTGCTAGTTCGGCTGCTTCTTTGTCTTTTTCTTTTGTTTGTTATAGATTTTCATTAAAGAAGCATCAATAAAGTAATTTTAAAACTGTTTATTGGAAAAAAGGAAGCAATGCATTCAGGGTACATGATGGACTGACAGGAAATGAAAGCACGGGGAACAGGAAACTAGTTTATTCCCTTCAAAATAAGAGCTTGGATTTTAAAGTTTTTCATGTTTCCATTGGATTTTAAAGTTTCCCAGTTCACCTGAAACTCATCAGACTGAAGAAGTCTCTTGGAGGTGAGACGAAACGTTTCACTAAAGAAGAACCCATCCAGAGGATCTACTTATTTTTTCTTTTTGATTCTTTTCTACCTGGATCAGGACTTTTCCATGTAGTTGCTCCAGTTGACCACTAGATGCCAGTCTTCACCAGCATAACATCTTTAAATCATTTCTGAGTCTCTAACACTGTTTTCCGGTTGCTTTTGAGCTCCAGCGTAAAGGAGCTCCGATTGTAAAGTAAAATAAATCAATACATACAAAATTTTAGCATGAATTACAAACATTTACTGTTTTTGCTGTTGTCTTCCTGTTGTGTAAGCAGACACAAAGCATTGTGGGAAGTCAGAACCGTGGCTCAAAGCGACAGTCAGGAAGGATGTTTACCTTCCCAATACATGTTTATCTGGGAGGGGTGCTGTTGGACAAATCATGTGTGTTGTGATTCTTTGACAGCCATACCTTCCGCTGTTCAAGATAATAATGTCTTGTAAATAATTAGTTAATTGCAGTTCTGTGTTTTTATTTTAGAAAGGGAAAATCTGCTTATGAATTATAATAACTAGTATGTTCACTAATTAAATATTTAGGTCCGCAATTAGAGGATTTGCGCTTTAGTGGGCTTGTGCCACCATTGGTACTTATATTTGTTCCTTTTGATAAACTAATTTGGCAGTTTTCCCAGACCACACAGACTTTTGAGGACTTACATTGTATTTGGATCAAAG